CACCATTACCTATTGGAGAAGGGGTTGGAGCTTCAATAGCTGGATTTTGTGCCTTTTTTACATTTTTTTAATTAACACAAAGAAGCATTTTAGTTTAATGAATAAAATATATAGTTTCGTCCTCCAATTGACTTTGCTCTTTAGGCATAATTTGTCTCTCAACGAGGTCTTTTTTTATTGTTTCTCCCCAGAAACAAATATGTATTGAATAATTTCTTAAGAAAAAAAAACAAAATACTCATATTATTCCAAACGTTATCGCGTTAAAGGAGAAACAGTAAATTAGAGTAAAACCTAAAAAAAGGATAAATTTTTTTATTCTTTTTTACATTTGTTCTCTCGAACAAACCAGTCAATCCCGTTGTCGGTAGGGGCCAAGTCGGCAAGCAAACTATCGCGTTGCTTCAGCCTCTACTCTTTAATTTGTATGGCTGAAATTTAATATAAACTCGAGCCTACTTTCAATTTCGATGGTAGAAATGTATTGCTTATGTACACAGACAGTATCCAACTCAAATTTCTTTTTGTTGGCATTTTTAAAATCAATGGTTATGTTTTGAAAATAGTCAACTGCTCGGTGAATGGTATTTTTCTTGTGGAATTGAGGGGCAAATTCGCAGTCCTTTCCGAGTAAAAAAAAAATGAACGAATATATCAAATTTGTCAATAATAAATAATGTGATTAGAAACCATGGGAATGAAGGCCAAGTACTTACGAACTACCCTTTGCACAAACATGCAGACCAGACCGGTTTCTATCTACTATCTACCACGAACACCAAACCCAAGAGCTTGTTTGCAAGGCCGAATATCCTACTGGGCAAACAGGGCCGTTGCCTCCAAAATGCACACTTATACTCTTTTTCAACTACTTTTTTTTTTAAAAAAAAAAAATTAAAGGTAGATACAATGCCCGGGCACAAGATCAATGGGAACGTTGTGCTACGAAAGCACGACTTGGTACTACTAGACCCAATGGTCTTTCGCCCTTTCAATTCAATATATTGCTTATAAAATATTATTGATAATATCAGCAACAATACTACTATTGAATGACATTTTTTAAAATTAAAATTATTTAAATTTAATTAATTATCAACAATGTTATAAAATAAATTAAATGAATTAGTTATATTATTTATTGAAGATGAAATATATGAATTACTCAATTATAAAATTTTAATATATGATTTTGCATCTTAAAAAAAAAAAAAAAGTAATATGAAGATATATAAATGAAAATACATGAGCCATTATCCCCGAGACTTTTTCACATTGCGCTGCTCGTTTGGCATCCCAACGCTGTTTCCTTCTTGCTTCTTTTGGAACAATTACTCTCGAGTTCTCATTCCAAGATTTTTTTTCCGGACCAAAAAAAAAAAAAAAAGAAACTCCTTAATGAAAAACTTTACTGCACGTTCCTACGAGAGGATGGAATTTGGACGTTCCAACTGAAATTAATTATTCACTCCACGACTTTTCGCGGCATTTTAGTCATACTAATTGTAAGTTTTCTTCGTTATCTTAACATGCTATGAAATAACGAGACTTTTCATATATCTACTGTAAAATATAATTTATTTTATAAACCTCCAATATACTTGATATAGGAGTAATAATTAAAATTTTTACAAAGGTGTAATAAAATTAAACTAACACAACTACCATAGACCCAATACATAACTTAATTCCAATACAACATTGACCAAATTACATAAAATTAGGCCATCCAGAATAAGCCAAAAACTTTTAACTCCACTTTAAATGTATATTCGAGTACATTGTTTTAGATTATTTTTTTAAAATATCAATATTGTTATATTCCCACAATTTTAATATGAAAAATATTTTAAAATAATCTCGAAAATGCATTTAATCTTGATTTTTAAATGTTACGTAAGTTTTAAATTTTTTTGTTTCTTTTATATCTCTAAGTGTCCAAATATATATTATTTATAATAATAACAATAATTATTTTATAAATAATAATAATAATTAATTTTAAGATAAAAATTGAAATGGACTTGGAAGGAAAAGAAAAAGAGCATTCAGCTAGCTTAAAAACATTAGTTATAATTTGTAAGAGTCAAACTTTCTTTTTTGGTGGGAATAAGAGTCAAACTTAACTATACAATTTTTTTTTTATGCCCAAGCTTATTTGGACATGTTAGAGTAAACTTGCTTAAATTGAACCCAATTTAAACAAACATAACTTACTTAAATTACCTCATGTGATTTTTTGAGTCCAAATTAATACGAATGCAAAATCATAAGTGTCCAAGTAATAAAATATTAAAAAAGTGAAAATGTCAAACCAACTAATTTTTAAAAAAATAAAATAAATTTATTATTGATAAAAAATAATAAAATTATAAAAAAAACAATAAGAGCCAAACCTGAAAGCCTTATTTAAATAAGAATTTAAGTTTAAAAATAGAGGATTTTTAAGGTAATATGGTTTCTGCGTCCAGTCTTGAAAAACCCTGAAAAAAGGGTTTGAGTTTGGGCAATCTTCCAAGCCTTGTTCTTTTTTTTTCCTTTTATTTTGAAATGCACCGTTTAACAAATGAGAAAAACCCTAATCATTTTATCATTCCAAATTCTTTAGCTATATTCATCTCTTAACTCAACCTCTCTCTCTCCCCTCTCCCTCTTGCTGCTCTGCTTGCCCTATGGCTCTCTTATCTCTCAACTCACCTATCGCTCTCATCTCTTAATTCAGCATCTATTGACTCAGTGTCTTCCTCTCAACGTTCTGTTATTTTGGCTTTTTAGCTTTCTTACTTTCAGGTAATTCCTCTTCCTACATAGACCTTTTTTAGGCTATAAATATCTAAAATTTTAATTTGATGCTCACTTTTAATATTTAAATTTGATTTGAAAATTTTGATTTCTCATCTTATTTTGTAAGGATTATATCAAGATGCCTCATTTATTTTACTTTTGAAATTTTGTTGTAAATTATAATAGCATCAACTAACATGTATTTAGACTTTTAAATTTTTTATTTATTTTCTAGATGATGTAAGACCTTAATTTAGTTTATATTAAATTTTAGAGTTAAATTATAATGTTAAATATTATGATGTGAATCAAATTATTTTTTAAAAATGACATTAAATTATAACATTAACTTTTTTTATTTTTTAAATTAAACTTTCGAGCTTGACCTTGAGTACTTTTAATAAAAGTTGAGTTTTAAGATTTAATCAAAATTTTGAGAAATTGAGTTTAACGCCCACCTTTAAAAATCAAGCCCATAAGGGTTAGGCTATTAAAAATCAACCCTGTTTGCTTTTCCATCTCTAGACATGAGGCAGGACAAAGTATTTCAATACTCAACTCATATCTCATCTTATCTTGTAGACTTGTATATATATATTTTTTGTTTTTGTAGCTCCAATGTGCCCTGTTTTGACTTTTTTTAGATTGGGCTCAATATAATTGGGATGGTGACAAATTAATTAAAGTCAATGATTTGGATTGAGTTCGACGAGTTAACCCGAACCTAATCAAAAAATTTAGAGCCAAGCCCAAAAAAATATTATTTTTTTATTATTCGGGCCTATTCGAGTGGCCCGAATAAGCCTGAATACCTAAATAAAAAAATAAATTTTTAAAAAAATATATAAAATATGATAAATATTAATTAATTTTTTAAATTTTATATCATTTTATGCTAAAATACTATATATATAAGTGTTTTAATGTATTTATTTTTTAAAAAAAATTAAAAATAGTTATATTTCATATTTTTATTATTTTTAATCAATAAAATATCTCAAAATAGTATTTAAAATATATTTTAATATTAATTTGAATATTTTAAGACCCAATTTTTGTTAAAAAAATTTTGAGTCCTATAAATCATTTGCATATAAAAAAATAATTTCATATTTTTTATAAATTAAGATAATTAATTTTAAAGTAAAAATAAAATTAAAAATTATTTTAAAAATAAAATTTAGGCATGTACGAATTTCTGACTCTACTACTAGATAAATATAATAAATAGAATAATATTTTTAAATAATTACTTGGTTATTGTTCATGCTAGATTTGGTTAAAAATTAAGAATAAATTCTTGAGTAAGAATTCCTTTTATGTAAGAGTTAAATAATATAAAAAGTTAAAAAAATGATTTCAAAAAAATAATATTTTATTCATAATTAAATAATTTTTTATATAATATAATGATGACAATTTTTTTTATATTTACAAAAATAAAAAGTATAATTTACCTAAAAGTTATTAAAAACTTTAAACTAATCGAGATAATAATTTTAAGTTAGTAGTCTAACTATGATTGAATTAAGATCAACTTAATCATAATTAAAATAATATAATTTAATTAAAATATATAAAATATTTATATATAACTATGATAAGAGCAATATTTAAATAATTAAGACATTAATTTACAATTAAAGAAAACATTCATGAATAAATTATACATAATACAACAAAATAATAACAAAGTTACTTAAATATAAAGTTGATAAGTTATTTTTTATTTTATTTTTTTAAAATTAAGATAATATTTTACACTTAATAGAATTATTTAAAAATTAAAATTGATTTAAAAAGTAAAGAAAAAATATTTTTAAAAAATTTTGGGTATTTGGGCCAGCCCGAAGCCCGAAGGTGTTAGGATCGGGCTTGGCTATATGGGCTTTTTAGAAGGGATAGGATGCTTTAAGCTTGATACGAATAAGCCCGATTCGAATTGAGCCCGATTCGAATAAACCCGGTTCTCCTAAATTATCGCCTCTAAAATTAATCGAAATCAGGAATTCATGAACACCCCTTTAAATATAACAAATAGTTGCTCATAAAATTTTTTATTATAGAATACACCCATAAATATATTGAATTTTTTGCCAAAAGAAAAAATAAAACTATTTTAACTCAAGACAATTAAATATCATGCGTAATTTTCCAAGGGAAAAAAAAAGTCCTAATCTGTATCTTCAAACTAACTAAGAAAACGTTTCTGACAGCAGGGAACAAGTTTCTCCGAAACGTCCTTGATCCCTCCGAGGCGACGTTATGGCCGACCTATTCTTTTTCAATAACTTGCAGCTTCTTTTCATTCTTCATCCGAGAATTCTTCAACTCAACACTGTGTGCACGGCAGCTCCTCTCCCCTCTCTCCATCTCTACAAATGTCTTCAGATTCTGATGCCACCTTCCCCAATTCATCATCCTCGACTCCATTGCAATTAGACGATCCCCAAATTCGAAGATTGTCTACGCTTCTCCCTCTGCTTCTCAGTTTAGCACCTCCTCGCCACATCCCAGAATTCGATACTGCAAGCCACCGTGGTCGAGTCCGGATCATCATAGTTGACCCGTCAGCTGGAGCTATGATCGTGATCGAAGGCTATGGGGATCTCCAATCCGTGCTTCAAGGCCTCTCGGGGAAGCCTGGAGCGTTGCCGGCGTCCAAGGATTCGATTCAGGCCATGCCGAGAGTGGTGGTGACCGAAGAAGGCGCGGATTGTTCGATCTGCTTGGAAGCTTACGAAGTCGGCGGTGAGGCTAGGGAAATGCCTTGCAAGCATAAATTCCACTCTGGGTGTATTGAGAAGTGGCTAGGGCTTCACGGGTCTTGCCCAATCTGCCGATATGCCATGCCGGCGGAGGAGGAAAACACAAGCACCGCCGGCAGCGAGGACGAGCAAGATGGTGCCGAGAGGAGGGAGAGCGGTGAGGGGCTGGTATCCGTGAGTGTATGGGTTAGGTCCCTCGACGAAGACGACGACGACGACGACGACGATCCAATGGAAGTGGATTCAGACTTGGATCACGGATCCGGGGGATCCAATAGTGGTTCAGGAGAAGGGAATTCTGCAGGGGATGAAGACTCTTGGATGATGGATCAAGAGCCGCAAGATATGGAATTCTGAAAGAGGGATCAAATCTGGAAATAGGAAGAATTCGTAGGAGTTAATGGTGTATGCAATTACAGCAAAGTTGTTGTCTTTTTGCGATTTGTTTTGTTGATGTAAAGATGATTTGGATGTTAGTCATGTTTGATTCTGATTGCAGTTTCCATTAACATTTTTGCATTGACGAGGGCGATTGCTTCATAAGAGAAGGGGGCGTGAAATGAAGTGAGCTGCTTTCTCCTCATGGATTTCCGAGATTGCAGCAAGAATGAGGTGAGCTGGATTACTGAGGACGCATCCCAAAGCAAGCCGTTTAATTAATTAATTAATTAGCAAATAAATTAGTCATTCTCAATTTAAGATATATTTTTTAACAAAATTATACTATTACATGATAAAATTTATTAAAATATAATCATTAATTTTTATAATTTTATTTTTAATCTTTATAATTTATTTTCTGTATTTTTAATTTTCATAATTCTTATAATTTAATATTCTTAAAATCCTAAGTATCAAACATTATTCATTGAAAACACTGGAGAATTATAAGGATTAAAAATAAAATTTAATGAAATTATAAAGATAAATAATTATGCTTTTTTTTAATTTTTTTTATAAATTTATAAAAATATCCTTATTAGTAAAAGGGATGGAAATAAATTACTCTGGCAACATTTTTAGTTCCTAACAACATATTTTTAATTGAAATTTATTTTAAAACATTTTATTTATTAATTTACCCCACTCTAATAAACCCAAGACAAAAATATTTTACCATTAATCAGATCTTAATATTATTATCCATCAAGGTCTATGAATATATTTTTCTCTATTATCATCTGGCGTGACCTATATAAAAATATTGAACAATAAATTTTAAAGATTGAAAACTTTTTTTTTTTTTTGGGAATGCTAAGTCACAGAAAATCGTGCAAGGAAGAAAGATCAAGTCATGTAAAAAATTATACAATTTCAGTTCATCTAAAGGGAGGCTCCTCAAAAATCATAATATCATCTATTACATTCTATATACCTATACTTGAAGATGACCGTCTAATTTTTCATGACAAATTTCTTGATTTTATTTGCTGTATTTGTGAGGAAACTGTTTGAGGTAAGGTTGCTTTGAATGACCGCCAAAACTCCAAGAAAGTCCAATTAGAGCTAAAGACTGAAAACTTTTAACTATGTTTTACTACCTAGCTAAAATTTAATTACAATAAATTCATATATGCTTGTATTAAGAAAAACGAAAAAATACTGTTCCTCCACAAATGCAATAATGTCGAGTGACGGAAGAAATCAGGCTTTGATTAGTGTAACTCGGAAAAGAAATTTAAAATTTCACAACCATATCTATATATCAGTACCTGCCTAGCTGAACAAAGAAAAATGTTTACAACGGCCAAAATACTTGAGCACGCATAACGTAAGATCGTGTGTTGCACTAATCCCACATGGCAATACCCTCGTATATATCGGTCTAGTATGCAAATTGAATGGACACTAAGAAAAATGCTTGCGCGTTATGGGTAAGTTTCATCACCCCTCCTCATTACCAGTAGTCACCGCAAGAACAAGTCCCATTTCTGAAATGGTGGAATCTGCTAGCGTCTCTCAATACAATTTCTCGTCCGGTAACCATTGCTATGTATTTAATTGCAATATGGCAGTCGCTACATATGCGATGGCTCTGAGTTATTTGCAAAGGGGTCCATTCTCTAGTGCTGATCAATCCAAAAGCTATTGCTAATTTCTCACTATGGTATTTCAATACGCGTTGTTCGTCTTCATCTACGTCAGGAAGCAAAGTTCTATTCTCAACAATGTAACCATGTCTTGATATCTTGAGCATCAGATCATCCACTTTTCGGTATATTTCTTTTGCTTTCGGGTGAGATTTATCTCCAGAAAGGAAAGCAAATGGCTGCTTCTTAACTTCAATCCAGGTACATGCTGGAAGCATTCTTAAACCCTTCCTCTTTAAGGACTGAACAACACCAGCAGCTTCCTTCAACTTGCCAGCTCTATTGTATATATTCAAGAGCACCACGTAATTACTCAGCTTCTCTGGCTCCATTCCATATAGTTTTTCCGCCGCAAACTTCCCAAGCTCTAAATTCTCATTCATACGGCATGCTGTCAGCAACGCTGCCCACATGTTAGTCGTTGGTTTAAAAGGTGCACTTCTGATTAATGCAAAAGCCTCGTCTAAAAGGCCCTGTCTACCCAACAATTCGATCATACACGCATAATGCATTGCTCGGGGCTTAATCTTGTGGTCTCGACTCATAGATTGAAAAAATTCCCAGCCTCTTTCTGATAATCCTGAATAACTGCATGCAGATAAGACAGCAAGAAAAGTGACATGGTTGGGAATCATCCCTTCTCGAAGCATCTGCTCAAACATGTTCACTGCTTCATCACCCTGACCATGATTGCCATATCCAGCAATCAATGCATTCCAAGATATAACATTCTTGCAAGGCATCCTATTGAAAACATGTCGAGCATCTTCCATCCTTCCCCATTTGCTATAGAAGTCCACAAGAGCTGTGTTAGCCACTATGTCAGAACCAAAACCATGACGAACTAAAGCAGCATGAGCTTGTTTCGCATGTTCTAGTGAAGCCAATCTTGCGCATATTCTTATGACTATTGAAAATGTAAAATGATCCATTTTAACACCACAATCGCGCATCTCATAATACATTTCCAGAGCTTGCTCGCTGTAGCCATGAAGTGCATAACCGGCAATAATGGAATTCCATCCTACAATTGTCTTTTCTGGCATTAAATCAAACACAAATTGAGCATCTTCAATGACGCCGCACTTACTATACATGTCAATCAGTGCACAAGACACAAAAATATCTTCGCCTACACCTATTTTCAGAGCGCAAGAATGAAACTGTCTTCCAATATGAATAAGACTCAATCCAGCAGATGCTCGAATCATGGTAGCAAAAGTGCGAGAGCAACCATCAGAAACCTCTTCCCACATGATTAGAAATAATCTAATGGCTTCCGTGCATCTTCCCGAGTCAACAAGTCCCGCCAGGATTGTGTTCCAGGACAACAAATTCCTCTCAGGCATTTCACCGAACAGTTTGCACGCATCAACCATCAGACCGCATTTCACGTGCATCAGCAACACTCTGTTCCTCATATATAGATCTGGTTCAAACGCTTTAGTAACCATGTAACGGAACACCCTCTTGACGCCACTTATCGATTTCAGACCAATGCAAGCACTTACTAACGCATCGTATGTGCTGCTACTCACATCATAACCACTTTGAAGCTCCAGAAATTCAAACAATTCCCACGCCTCACGGTACCTACAGCACAAAACCAGCTTCTCTATCTGGCTACATAGTCCTGAAGGGGGTTTTTTAATCCGGGATCTCTCTAAGACCGGTTCTTGTCTTTCATCAAAACCGATTTTCGAAGGTTTGGGCATGGGCCGGGGTCGAAGCCCTTGTTCCGTAGAAGAACAAAGGATCCGCGAAGACGGTTTCATACATTTCCCTCCATTTAACATACATTTATTGGACAAAACTGCTAGCCCACAAGGCGTTTCGATTAGATCGAACGGCGAAGTTTGATGAAGGGAGAAGGGGATTATCATGGCTCCGGATAAGAAGCGAATCTAAAAAAGGGCGAGAAGAAAGGAAAAGAAGAGGGAGTAGCGAGAGATGAGTGGTCAACAAGTTGGAAAAGAATAAGCAGGAAGGTGAATAGGTGATGATAATGGAGAGGGCAGAGGAGTGAACGTGATTCATGATGGGTTAGGAGGAAGTAAGGGAAGTCAAGAAGAGAAGAGCGTGGGGAAGATTCGGCATCGAGGAATCCGCCAGATTTGGTGGTTGTAAAAGTGATGACATCAAATCACGTCGATATTTCCTATGCTCATTTCCGAAGCCCCACAATGAAATGCTTTCTGCTATTTCTTTTTATAAATTTGCCTTCCACAATTCGATTGTAGTCGTGGGATACATTGCGTGTGAACAAAAATAGACAGATAGATTAGATTTTTTTCCCCCCTTCAAAATTTCACGCGAAATTACAATTGCAATGAACAAGAGAGACTGAGACGTGGGTTTGGAAAAAAGAGGAAGTGTCGCAGGGATTGAACGAGTGAGTGCAGAATTTGAGGAAGTAAAGAAACACAAAGGAGGCAGATAATTTTTATTAATAAAAAAGAGTACGAGGAATTAGACGTTGTCGAGAAAACAATAAGACCAATTCTTGATGGGATCATCATGATAGGTTACGCGGGCAAGCAAAAAGAAGGTTTTGTTCTGTTTTATTTTCATTGTGTCCTCCTCTGTTATGGCCATCGCCAGTTCTTTCAATAGAGGTTGAGGCCACACGCATAGGGATTAGGGAGCGGTTCAGTACATGCTAGCAGTTGGTTAATGAATAAAGCAAACGAGATGCTTATCAGTGTCTGTTACTTTGATTGCCTCCCAAATGAATGTTTCTTTCTTTTCATTCTTTTGCCAACACCAAATGAGATCATTTGTTTTGTTCATTTGCTGCTGGAGGATTTTTCAGTCTAGTGCGTGCTTGGACTCCTGTTCTCCCTTGGCTTCATGGAAAATTAGAAAGGGAAAATGGCACTGAAAAAAAAGATGAACTAAAACTCTATTTGACTACTAGAAATGAATGAAAGTGAATGAGTTGAAAAAATTAATATAAAAATAAATTAAATCACTATTTTTTTTATGATAAATATAATAAAACTGATTAATATATATTATAAATGTAGTAATCATTACGCCCTTCAAAAATTTCATGAATTATTATTTCTAATTTTATAAATTAAATTATTATTATTTTTTTGTAAATATGATTCACTGTCTCTTTTGATCAATTTATTTTTATTTATATTTTTTTCATCCATTTTATTTCACTTACCAAACGAGGGAGGGGGGCCCTTGAGAGAGCAATGCACTTCTAATAATCGCAACAACTTTTCTCATTGTCCTTATTTATATAAAGCGACTGAGCTCCATTATGATTATGGAGCTATATTTTAGAGTATGTCTAATACCAATGTTATTTACGAAAACACAAGTTTTGCCCAGGGTAAAGGTGGTGAACTTTTTGGACCTACAATAATAAAGGCAGGCAAGGCAGAATTGATAATATGATACAATAAATTTCTGTTCTTGACAACATCTATCAATCAAAGCCAAAATAGTTGTTACTCAAATGGTACACTCTTATTTTCAGGTAAAAAAAAAAAATTCTCATTCCCACTGAGAAGTTTATTATAGTCCCTTTAGTTGTCCACCAATAATGAGGAGCTTCACTTACCAATGAAAAACATCAATACAATGTTGTTCTGGTACAGTGCCAAGTCTATTTAAGAGAATTTTTTGTGGATTCCGGAAATAGATGGTCAAAGTTGTAATGATGTATTCGCACAATATGAAGTTATGAACTCATGATGATTAGAGAAAATGCTCGTATAACGAGAGCAGGACACAGACGTGAAAACAATGCCAACAGCAGATATTAAATAAACTTGCACAACACACCAGACTCATCAAACTACAGTGGGAGACACGATTGAAAAGAAAAATCATGAGCCACACTTGCGCGCTCGCGCATATATATATTGAGCGAGACACTAGCCTCGATTTTATTCCCCTGTCGTTCAATTCATACCAGGGACTAAATTCATGGCAAATTCAAGTAGGACACCTTGGTATAAGTGGCAAATCAGGCAATGAAACAACTTGCATAGCTAATGATAGTCAAATTCGCAAATTCTGCTTAGAATGTCCACCAGTGTACAAGCATTACAGTAAAGTGAAGAAACAAAGATCTTAAATATAAGCAAACTATTGCGCCTTCACATAACATCTCGAGACTGGAACTTGACAAGGTTTTAATGTATGTTCATAATAATGCCAGATAACCAGAATGACAATTTTCTCTGTTCTAACAGGTAAATCATAAGATACTGTGGACATTGATTCCCAGACTGCTATTACTGCGACCATGAATGATGAAACTAATAAACCTAAAACAGGAAAGTAATCCCCAGAAGCAAATTTAATTAAGGGTTATTATATTTCAAGGTGTAACAAATTCATTATGATCCATATTTCGTCAGTCATCACAAGCTTACAACTTATTGCCGAGAGGGCTTATTTAAAGACAACCTAGGCTAATTCCCCATTAGATAGACCAGAGAACACCTACAAAGTTAACGGGTCTCATCTCATGTGTGATACTACTTCCTGATCTTTCGATGCTTCTTGGCGGGACCTGGAACTTGTAATCTACCAATAGAACACCCACACTTCGCCCTAAGAATAAGTACAGCCCTTCCATTAGGGGGTGCCATCTTCCTGAGTTGAGCTTCCAATTCCCTGTTTTGATGGCGAGCCAGTTCAAACAAGCCCTTCTTGAATTCATCTCCATCTGTTCCCAATGAAGCTGAATTCTTCACGCAATCCTCTGTCTCTAATTGAATGTCAAATTCAACAGAATTTTTAAGGCCCTTGCAATTGGGATTCCCACACTTTCTACCTGTCCAAGTTACGACTAAAAAGGTAGCCAATATAGCAGAAGAGACACTTAGTCCTATAGAGATGTAGATCAAAGGGGCCGCAGAAAACTCCTCTTTCACCGCGTGCAGGATTGTCCCACCAATCTCAATAGACTTAATTATCAAAATCTGAATGTAGGGAAGTAACAAGAATCCGCACGCGCAAATTACAGCGACAAATATCACAGCATCCACCACCGCAAATCGAGATCGAGATCGATCGCAAGGTGGGATTTGCAGACTATTGAAAGAAGTGGGCGTTTTCCTATTCCGCAGGATGTTATTGCTTCGCCTCGATTTAGAACCCAAGTCGGCTGAACAACTAGAATTCGCCATAGCAGGGGGCTGGTCAACGGACTTGCAGAGCGAGATAGAGTTATCGAAATAGAACATTTCAGATAGAACCCAGAAATTGAATGCAATCAACGACTGAACCCCCACCAGAAAAAATTACAGATTAAAACAATCAATCTAGACCAGAATCGGATCTATCCAAATCGTTGAAATTAAAAAGAGAAGAAATTGAAGTCATCCAGAAGATCAAAAGAGGTCGGTGACCAGATGCATCAATCTCCTTTTCCCACACGGCTCAAGGCAGTTTTCACAGCTCAAATCCAATATTGGATGCAACCTAAGAGTTACTTTAAATTGAACAGAGAAAAAGCCAAAACAGATATAAGTGTAAAATGGGGTTTAAGGCCGGCTTGAAGAGTTCCGAAGCGGAGGAAGAATCAGAGACGACAAAGAAGAGTCATTACTAGTCTTTGAACGTCATGACGGTTCACCATTTCGCAAACGAATCGTACAGATGTTGTAAGTTGTGACAAATATCAAATATTCGGAAAGCAAGAGCGTCGCGCGAGGATGAGTCACGTCGTGGGCTGCTTCGGAACTGGGCTTGGATTTGCTTTTTTTCATAGATTTCAAATTATTATTTACAAATGATTTGGTGGGCCATATTATCTTCGGTTTAAATATAATCAATTACATAATGATATTTTTTGGCCAAATTATTACATAATGATATGGAAATACCCTTTCTAACTCTACTTTTTTTTAAAAAAATATATTTATTATTTAAATGATTAAAGAATGGTATAAAAAGTATTAATTTCATTATAATTTAATTTTTACCGAATCGTAATAATTAAATTAATATTTTTTAATTTCATGGTTCAAAATATCATATAAATTTAAAAATAAATATTAATAACTTCAAAAATTAATATGAAAAATTAATTTAAAAAAAATAATTAAAAATAATCACCATAATATTTATTGACATTTAATATAGTACACTCTCAATTCAATATTATAAGTTATTTTTAACTAAATTACATTTCCTAATGAATTAATTACTTATCTTTAAAATTATAACTAAGGTGTCCAAAATTACAACTAAGTGTCATGAGTTCAAAACCTAAATCACACTCAATAGACTCAATAAAACCTGTGCAACATACTATAGCACTTCAATAACATGTGTAACACATTTTCAATGTTCAATCCCTTAATCTCAAAATGATAAGAGGTCTCAATTATGTAATTTCACATTTAAATCATCATCATTCACAAATATACTCATTCCTTACTTGTACAAGTATTTTAATCCTATTTAGGTTTCACATTTAATTCACATATAATCTAAGATCCAAAATACACAACTTGGATCAAGAATCAAATAATTCAAGTAAGCAAAAACATGCAATCTCCTAACTGGCATTACCAAAATAAATTATACACATCAACTCTTGAATAAACAAGGCCTAGAATAAGCCTTTGACTGTTTCCCTTGGTCCTATCTTGATAAGCTAGCACCTATAATATTGAAGAGAGACTGATAAGAATAACTACTCAATAGTTAAGGTTAATCTAGCTAATTCATATAGTTACAAAACTAACAACCATGTGACATTAGATTATTTAGCATGCAAGAGTTACAAAACTAACAACTATGTGCCCTTTATAAGATGTACAAGACCACAAAAATAATAATGTGGCCATATAACGATATGCATTATCAATACCAATCTTATATCCTCCTAATACCTTCAACATGAAACTGATAGCTATGTAGTGGGATTCATCCTTATCATTGGACTACCCAAGCCTTCCACTTGTGAGTCACGAGTTCCCTCAATACTAACAATCATAGGATGTCGTACTCCTAATCTAGCATTCTCATTAATCGGTGAAGACTAGTTAGATTTGAGTTTCTTGATGAATAAGTAGGACAATCCCTCGAAAAACAAGCGGGACAATAAAATAAAGAGACAATCTATCAAGCTTCGAAGACGACCTTACCATGTGAATTTTCATTATCTACTCCTCTCCTTACAGGCGAAACCTCCATCTCATATGATCATGCAATGAAATCATGGTTAACACATAATATATGCAATTATTAATAAAGTTCTCGACATGACATACACTTATCATACTCACTACATCTCATACTCCCTTACACTCTCATCATGATTTTATCATTTTCCAAATTCATGTTTTCTTTAAATCATGCTTAAACAAAGCATAAGACATAATTTCACACAATTAAATTCTTTTTTCATGACAAAATCTTTAAATATTAACTGTATACCACAATTTATATTCTTTCATACATTTAAAAACATAATCATATCTTCTATTCAATTATAAATAGCTATAACTAATTAATAAAAAAATGCACAAACTAAATTTTTCTCAATAATCTCAAACCTGTAATAGGTCAAGGGTTTACCCTTAATAAAAGTTTTTCATAAACTATACTAAAGCGTAAATGGTGCACAAAATAATTGATTTATAATTAATCATATCAATCATCATTAATGTCAACATAAACACTCTTCCAACTTCATCAATCAACACTTAAATTACCCAAAATTTTAATCTCTTGCATTTAAGCATAACCATTAGGCTTATTAATTCTCATTAACTCCATTTAGCTTCTATTAACTTAAATTATCACTAATATAATATCCAACAATTTAAAATCATACTTTAGAGGTCTAAGGTTCATCCAAAATGGATGACCCAAGTTCACAACCTTGTAAAAACTTTTAAACTATGTGTAAAATACTTAAACAACTTTCATTAGTCTCATGTAGAGTTATAGGTTCAGAGCCATAGCCTTAGGTTTAAAAAATTCTCATCCTAACCTAAAATCTTATTTTCAAAACATGTAAAGTGAAGGAAAAGAGATAAAGAAGGAATACTTAGGTGAAATTAAGCTTTAATAACTTCAAAAATTCTCAAAAGTTGATGTTCTAACGAAGAAAATACTCTCTCTCTGTTGCCTCTTATTTGTTTTAGGTGTCCCTCCCTCTATTAGAATGTTTTTTGCATTTAAAAAAGACCTGATTCTAGAAATTACGTTGCGACAAAAATTCATTATGTGGCAGCATAATGCATAGTGAGCCCAATTTCAATTTTCTCTTTATAATTTGAGCCTAGGTGGCCTAATTTACTTTTGAACATAATCTAATGACTAAAACCAAATTTAATAGGCCTATTAGCCATCTTTAACCATCCTTGAACACATTTATACTTAAATTTACTTATTTATCCTTCATTATCTTAATTAATCAAGGGAATAATTATTGGGATGTTACAAGAGACAAATTGGAAAAAAATGTAATAATGCTTCTTGAAATTTAGTTTTGTTTATAAATAAAACCAAAAAGGCACATAATAGTTTCTCTTATATTTAAAATCCAAGAGAGTACTTTTTTTCTTAAAAGTTGGTTTGATAAACTAAAACTTGGTTAAGTGATATAATTTAAAACCAAGTTTAGATGTATATAAAAAAAAAAAACATAATTTTTATTATTTATATATATATTGCAACCAATTTTACTTTTTAGGGAAAAATATTAAACTTTAAATTACATTTTTTAAAATAGTCCCATAAATAATTAAGCATTATTTGTACATTAAAAATATAAAACATGGAGAAAAGCCAGAAAAATATAAACATATTTGAACCAAAAAATTATCACATTAAATTAACCATATAAAATAATTAAATAGAAACAAAACTATAAAAAAAAGAACTTTAATATTAAAAAATAGAGAGGGAGGGAGAAATTAAATTAGTGAAGAGTAAGTAGGACCACGGCATCTCCGTTTCCCTTACTCTCCATTTTTCTCTATTTCCCTTCATCACCTTTAGATCAAATATTTTCATCTGCTCATATTTAATATTTGATAAAATTATCATTTTATATAAAATATATAAATAAAATATTATATATTTAAATTTTTTAGATCAAATGTTAATAGTTCAAATATCTTTATATATTTTTATGTAAAATTAAAATGATAATTTTATTAAGGATTAAGTTTGAACTGTTGAAACTTTGGTCTAAAAATGATGAGAGGAAAAGAAGAGAAATTAATAATAAAAGAAAAGAAGGGACTCCATTAGGGTGCACCTAACAGTGCGGACCACAAAACAAATTGATAGGGGACACGGAAGTAGAATCATACTAGTTTAGGGACAGAACCCTGAAATACAACAAAAACACAAGGAAAAAAAAAGAAAGGGACGAAATTTATGATGAAAATGAAGAAAAAATGAAATAAATAATGAGATAATGATCAAGGATAAGATCCTATAGAGCACTTATCTCTAAGAATCTCAACCTTTGAAGACACTATAAGAGTTGATCACGCTCTTAATCACGTCTGTTTCTCACACGGGATGCCACCACAAAGCATTAAGGCTCATAAGAGTTTTAAACTCTAAAATGAATAATTTCATTCAATTTCTCTTCTTTTTACAATAGGGAACATGCCTAGTATATATAGGCTCATAGAGAAGACTATTTTCTAAAATTAAAACTCTAATTTCATAATACTAAAAGGAGAAAGAAAATAATATAAAATAAAAAAACTATTCAGCCACATAATTTAGGAGATGTGATTCTAAAATTATGAGATTACAAAACTTAAAAATTAATAATATAATTAATCATAATCTTTGACTAGACTCAAAATAGGAAACTAAAACTAGCCTTGCTCCTTAAGAAAAGGGAGTCAAGTCAACGAACCGTTAAAATAGGAAATAATTAAGGAAAAAATTAAGGAATCATAAAAGATTCAAAATCACGCTACCTTTGACTTCTTCACTAGGGTTTCATACTTTCTTGCTTGTAAGAGGCTCTACTTGTAATCTTCCTTGTATTGGGCTAAGGTTTGCATCTCTTAGGCTTGACTCTGTGGATTTGGATCTTAAGCATATTATACAAATATAGATGCTCTCCTTTAGGTTTGAGAGGAGTGCCCCAATGCTCTCCAAGTTTTTAAACTTCTTGCATAAGACTAAACAAGGCTTGCTTCATGGCTTTAATCCAGGCTCTTGTCATTGGACCTTCAATATATTGTAAAAGTCTTTAGGCACGTTAGATTGAAAGTGTTGGGCTCCTTGCTCCTTGCCTTAGACTCCTTTCATGCCACCATGCTTAGGATCACCATCCTCAAGTTTCATTATCATTGATGCCATGTCATTTGTGTCATGGGATCCATTATTCCCTCCCAATTGAAAAGGATTCATTCTCAAATCTACAGAATCATATAAAGATCGATCAGAAACATTGAATGTGGCACTAACATTGCCATAAGAGTTAGGCAAATTAATCTTGTAAGCATTATCATTAATTCTTTCTAAAACTTAGAAAGGTCCATCTCCTCAGGCTTGAAGTTTGGACTTTCTTTGATTAGAAATATCTCTATCCTTAAATGTAACCAAACTCAATCTTTAGGCTTAAAGATCACACATCTCCTGCCTTTATTAGCTTGCTTGTCATATTGCTCATTCTTTCTCTCTATGTTTGTTTAACCTTAACATGTAAGTCCTG